TACCTCCATTCAACTGGATTTACAAAACACATTTCAGAATACCAAAAATTGTTAGGTTTAATATATGACATTGATGCGCAGACACCTAGTTGCGCAAATCGCCTGTGAGATGTATCGTGCATAGTATATATACTACCGCTTCAACTAGACAATTAAATATCTGACTCATCAATCCATTAAAAGATATATCTATACATGTTAACTGAAGCTTCACAAAGCGTGGTGTCATTAACCTGAAATCAGGCCCATACATGTATAGTCCTAACGGCAACAACTCGTGCAAAAATATGAAAGATGAATTTTAAATATTCGTTTCGAGAGAAAGAGTATCAAATATACAAAGATATAATGTATGGATTGTGTACCCTTGTTTTTTATATTTTTCCATTCAAACCATATTTGGTCCAATTTTCGTTGCATATACTTTTTAAGGCTAAATTATTTTTCTATGTTATATCGGAATGCTTGAAACTCGATCAAACCATCTTGGTTTTTTTCTTGACACAATGTATGTATAATATTTTGTATAAAGTATTATAAAGTTAATTGGAAAGGCAACATTTCCTGTCTCTCCAAATAATACTGTTTATAATCTAAAATCAATAAATGTATCTTATTTTGGTATATTTTGTTTTTCAAATCTTGCCAAAGCCTTAAAGAATGAGGACATTCCCAGAAAGTATGTCCTAGAGTTTCTGTGTTACGCGTATTACAAAGGTTATCATTCAAAATACCAATTGTTTTCAAGTAATTGTTTAGTGGGATAATGCGTTTATGTAGGGCAAGGAAAAGTTGGACAGTTATTCGTTATTCGGAATGACGAATAACTTTCTAACTTTACTTTCCGGGTGGCGAAAGGAAAGTAAGAATGTTATTCGTTATTCAAAATTTTACAAAAATACTGTAACACGATGCCGGTGCACAACGCCTGAGTGGTTACAAGTACAGAGGGTGCCACTGAAAGTATTCACACCGAGTTTTAAAAGTTGTGCACCGGCACAGTTTCTAGACCTCCTGGGACGCTATACCCGAATATTGCCAAATTGAGTTTTCTTTCAAGTTCTATGTTCTTGGTCCTGGCTCGGGGGGAATGCCTCCTATTTCAATTCAATCCTAATTAAACTCGGTGTGAATACTCTAAGTGTCACCCCGTGTACGTGCAACCTTTTAAAAAAGTTTGCACCGATATCTGTTTGACATTATTGTTCTTTTTAATTTTGAATAACGAATGACTTTACTTTTACTGGTATTTATTTTGTTTATATTTACATAATTGTTGGTGTCTTTTTCCTGATCTAAAACCAAAATGAAGTCACAACAAATTATGCATCTAGGGTTGCTAAAATTAATAATCTGCTTATTTGTTTTTTCAAAATTATCTTGATCATCTTGATTGGGACAGTATATATTAATCAATGAAAATCTGTATTTTTCAATGTTTATTCATATCAAGGGCTATTTCATTTCCTTCTGTGTCTTTCTATTGACTGTGAATCTAAACATCACAATATATTTAAGCCATTTTTAAAATAGAATAGGAGCGACTGTAATGTCGGAGTTGGTTTAACATAACTGTTTGTTTTCATATTTTATATATACTTCATATTAAATCTTATCGATCATCGAGTTGACACAATTTATTTAATTCTCGTTTGAAACATTTTATAAAATCAAATAAGCGGACAAAAGAGAAAGTCATAATATACTTTCCTATAATAAGTTTTAAGGAATAAGTATTAGGACAAGAGCACGATGGAAAGAAATGATTCCGTTCTATTAAACTTCTTTTTTTTTCTCTCCGCAATTTGCAATAAAGAAGCCTGCATTAACCAACCGAAACTATTTGCAGAAACCATCGATTTATAAATGGCCAGTGCTGAGTGGAATGGTAAATTCGAAATCCTGCCAAATTGGTTTCAAACTCATTTAACAATATTGTGACGTTTTTACGACAATTCCTCACGTTTTTATCAAAGGCAGTGTTTTAATGTTTCTTTTAATGATTCCTATATAAGTGAGCACCGTATACACGAACACTAATTTTTCAATAAAATCCGTCGTATATTTTGTCATACGTAGATGTTGGATCTCATTATAACTTGGAATTATAATGATCTATCATCGCTTATTACACAGAGTAATAAAACCTCGATACGTTATCCAGTATCCATAGCAACCAGTTTGTATCCACAGTATGTGTGTATCATAAAACAAAGTTTGGTAGTTCATAACCTTCAAAGCAAATGATATAACGATTTATAATCATGCAAGACAAAAATAAATCATATTCATAAATCAGAAAACACATCTGACTTAAGTTTCAGCTCAGTAGTTTCTATAGCAGTTCCACGTATTGAGAAACTAGAATGAACTAACGAGACCGGTATAGATAACTGGATCATCGTAAAACATAGGTCAGGTTTTATGATAACTATATTCTGTATTTAAGGTTAGTCGTTGATCTAAATGTAATATGATAATGTAAAATATTGAAATTAACGACAGGAAACACGTATGTATACTGTTACCATTTATATTTTATAACGCAATGAATGGAAACAAAAAGCATGGGAAATGTACCAAACATGTTACATACAAGTCAACACACATCGAGTAGACGAGTCAATGGCAGAGCTTAACTACACAAGGAACGACAGAAACACCTTTACCAACATCTAGTTGAATGACAGGGGAGATAACTCCACTTTAGAGAGATCCTCCTTGCTTCCTGAGCAGTGGACCGGTTTTAAGAAGAGATGATGAGTCTATAGAATGTTTCACTGGTAAGACCACGTGATTAATAGGTTTTGCCTATAGCAGCCGTTAAGGGTCAAAACAATGTTCTTTTCTTTGTTAATCTCACATGTTTTATAGAGTTAATAGGCCCAAGTTTGATCGCAATTAAGGACATAACTACTTATACACAGTTATTACTTTGTGTGGGTTCATATGCCACCAAGAGAGAGGCGTTATTTATCTTAAGTTATTTCCAAATCCTATTGCCACTGAAAAACCACTGTCAATAATATATCGTCTGATCTGGGAATCGACCTCAGTCTTGTTGAAAGGCACGAAGAATGTTCTCCACTGCGTCACCCGACCATCCATTTGGTGAGTATATACAATTGTAGTTCAGTCTGATATTTATAAAAGCTATATATTTTGTTGCGATCTGCACATCAACATGTAGAAATGAAAAATAAATTCCAAAGCCTGTGATATGGTGAAGCACTTCGGGTGCTAATCATGGTCGAATTACGGCTGAAATCTCACTCAGAGTTTGGCGTTCTAAAGTTAAAACCAATTGCTTTGAACCAAACTTCTCCTGAAATGAACCACCATGGAAGTTTTTGCTAAAAATCAAGAAACATTTCAGATACAAACCAAAGATTTTTAAATATCACTGAAAAAGTGTCAAAATTGTACCATTTGTGGTGACGTGACATTATACTGCTAGCTGTGCATAAACCAAGTTATATCTGCCTGGCACGCGCAATATCCGTCTTAGTTACAATTCAACACATTTAAAAAAATCTCCCCTCAAAATTGTGTCATGGACTAAAACATTTTCAACGGGAAGTATATAATAATAAGAGCGTTGCTCTCGGGCGCCATTATCATACTATGACGTCACAAGCACGTCACACTCCATCGGCCTTCATCGGTTATTTCCGGAAGGATGAAAAATAACCGGAAAACCGTTGCATTTATCTCTTTGTCGGTGCTTCATGACTTTTTAATTTCAGTTTTTGCCACAGGCACTAAAAGTAAAAACGCGGATGCTTTCTGAAGATCCTTTTTGTCATCAACCATGTCCTGTTAAAATTTCTACCGGGAGATATTTTCAAAAAGAGCCGCATTAAACCAATAGGTAAACGTGTACATTTATTTGTCATCGTCTAAAATTTCATCAGCTTTTGATTTCGATTTGTTGTGTATATGAACGAAATAATTAACATTTTTGAAAGTCTGGTTATAGTCTTTACATTATTTATGTATGCGTCACCACTCATAAAAGAAACAATGGATAATTCATTTATGTCGAAATCAACAATAATTGTCTAGACAACGAACCCGAGTTCAAGGCCATTTTTCAGCAACGTATCACTTTTTCACAACGCATGCCTTTTTATAACTAGTTACAGACATAAACTGTTTAATTTCATTTGGCATCATTACCTGTCAAACCTCAGTGACAGTTACAAAACTTGAAATTCAATCTGGTGTTTCAGGATGGAACAGGAATTCAGACTACATATCGATATAACGACAATTTCAGTTACATCAAAATATTACAATGTTTTCTTTTTTTAATTTCATATTTTTAACTAACATCTCTATACATTTACTTTTATAGACTTATCGTCAAATATGTAATATGCACTTTTTTTATAGCAATTACAAAACAGTTTTCCCCCAACTTATTTCAATCATTCTTTTTGTGACCTGACGGAAACACGCAGAGGATTTAATTTTTAATTTGAGAGGAAGCCGGAGTATCCGGAGAAAACCCGCGTGGTCGGGCAGGTAACCGGGATTGAATCCGGCCATCTTGGTGAAGACGAGAGCGCTATCCACTGCGACACCCGACCCATCATATACGTTATGATGGGTCGGGTGGCGCAGTGGATAGCGCGCAAAAAATCTACATACGGTAGACTGGGGCAAGTTCGGCCACCCCTGATGTTTTTATTTTTGAGCTAATATTTACAACTTTAAAGATCTTAGCAGTGTAGTTGGCTGGGCATTCACACGAAAAAATGGCGAGGAAAACTCGAAAATTTTGAGAGGGTAGAAAGAAAATCATGATATCGCTTCTAGTTATGCGAACTTTCTGTAAACGGAATAGCTATTTTTTTACGGTCAAACGTGTAACACACAGACAGCTTCAAATTATATACATAAAAGCCCAGTTTTTTTGTTTTCCCTCGACTAGCCGATTTTAAATAAATTTTATCTTACCTCATTCTGTAAGCAGTATTATCTCATTCTGAATCAGTAAATATCAGAGATCAACAACAGCTTCGCTCTTTTAAGGCTTTGCCTTTTCATACTTTGTAATAATATCACATTTTCCTTATCCTATCCTGTGTCCATCCTCTTCCCATATCATCCCTCAGGCCTCCGGTTCCTCAGATTGATGCAGTGGTCTCGGGTTCGGAATTAGACATCAAAATGGTCATATAATAACTTCTAGTTTTGTTGGTAATAGCAGATGAAATTTCATAGCAGGTGTAAGTCCAGAAAACCTTAACAACACATGTCTGTGCTGTACTTGCCTTTTTGGTTGAATATTGTAATGTCCATATGCTAATTTTTAATTTTAATGTAACTTACATTCATCGCCAATTTAGTTTGTTAGCGAAAAATCAATTATGTTTCTTGTATGATTACGTTTTTTTTTCAAATACAAATATTGTAAAATATGTATATAACCAAAATTAATATATCAAACCACAGGGTTAATGCAAAATTATACTATGCATGTATACATCATTTCTTCATGTCTTCATCGGTATAGCAAAACATCTTGTATATTCGTTTTACGTATGTATATATATCATGAAACTGATGTTGATAGCAATGTCATATGAAAACTGTAGAATAAAAATAGAATACTTAATACAATGTAATGAAATGGTATCCTTCTATTGAAATAGCAAGATTACAATACATGACAACGGCCTCAATTGGTGGTCGCGTTTGGAGACGACATTTCGTAGTATGCATTTAGGTCATCTCTCCCTGCCATATCAATGCCTGTATAATGTTCTTCGGTAGCTGTAAGTGTAACATTAAGAATAAAAAAGACTGTAACAAACGGCAAAAAGTAAATGTCAATTATAATTTCACAACACTGATCTGTATGATAACGTATCCGTACACAGGATATTATCTAGTTGTTTAACTTTAATATTTAATCGCTTCGAATATATTGAATTTATATAATTGTACAAACCTTTGGTTTGCTCTGTCTTGAGTGCGGCTCTTATCCTACAACAATATGTAAACCAAACTTATCGAGAAGTCACAGTCCTGTTCTCTGTATACGGTATATATTTATGCACTATTGATAATTACGGTTCATATCTATGTCGAAGTTCTTTAGTAGCAATTGCTATTTACTTTTAAAATGTCGTTAAAATCGCTGTAGAAAATCGGGAGGGTCGGATTGCGTAGTGGTTAACGCATTCGCCTTTAACCAAAGTGGCCGGGGTTCGATTCCCCGATCGGACGTGAAAAGGAATGGGGTCACTTGCCCGACCACGTGGGTTTCCTCCGGGTTATTCGGTTTCCTCCCACATTCAGACCCCCCGCGCTACAATCTTGGAAACCAAGAGTGATTAATATAAGATGATAGCTTGTTACATTACTGTAGTAAAACAAATAAAGTTCATTTAAAAAATAGATGTTCGATATGAATACACAACTTTTTGTGTAGATGATTCAAGGATCTTTCACATTATAGTGAACATCGTAGTTTGTCTTTGTTCACAGGACGTCTGGTTTATATTTAGCTATTATAAGGTCACCTTCAACGACTCAGAGACAACTGTTATGCCCCTATATACTCTTAAACTAATGCATCAAACGTACACATGTATACGCTTCAGCTTTTCGTTTCCTATCTGTCCTGCCATCATTATTTTCTTTCTACTTTCTGTTGCATGCGGTGTCTCCCTTGCCACCCTTCCTTGTTTCGAAGAAGTTAAACTCCGAACATAAACAAAGTATAATTTAGAGGTTCTGACAGATAACGAATTAGACAGACGTACCGTAACATATAGACAAAGGAGGCGATAGCTGTCACCGAACAGAGTGCCGCGACAGCAGCAAGGACGGCTACAACTGTTATGTTATCTGTACGAGTGCACGTGTCTGTGTCTGTAATTAGAGGATAAATAACGCAATGATAAAATATAAATTATGTTATTGTTGTGAACCACACTACATCAGGACGAATATATATATCGGCTTGGAAATGACAGGTCCAATTTATATTTTACAAGTAAATTACCAGTAATCAAAACATGTAAAGGATAAAAGTTTAATTATAAAACGTGTTAGCTGATTAAGAGATATTACACACAACAGGTCAATACTTGGATTTATTTAAATTCTTGGTTATTTCTTTAATAATAAAGGAACATTGTGTGTTATAAATGTTTTTCCTACCTTCACAGGTCCCGTCAGACCGTCTACATTTGTTTGAGCCACATTCAGCAGGGCACGCCTTCTCGCACTTATAACCATACATTCCGTCCATACATTCTTAAAAAAAATTGAATATCGATAAGTTGTATAATTAAATTGAGACTGGTAAGCGATCTTACTTGATAAGAACTGGTGTATACAAGGTGTCATACCTGAACAAAATCCCGTGGTTTTCTCGCACAAGAGGTCTTTACACTTTGCTGGGCAATCCAGATCGCATGTCTCACCGCGTTTACCGGGCTTACAATCTCAAATATAAAAATAATAAATGAATATGAAGGGTCTATTCTTCTCCGACAATGAACAGGTTCGCACACTCTTTATAAAGAGAAAGATAAATCTATGTTTCCCTGTGTAGTGATAAACAGTTGTACTTCTCTGAAAAATGGCCGTATCACAACAGGATCATTTCATCATTTCAGTAAAAGATGTACTATTTCGAGCGGTGGTTTTCTTCCACGTGGAATTTCAATAAAAAAGTCATTAAAATAAATCTGAAGTCCACATAGAAAAATCGGAATGGCAATATTTACGAACAAACCTTTTCTGTTTATGTCGATATATCATTTTCGTTAGAAAGACAAAATAGCTTTTTGCATCATTATATTCGTAATATCGTGTAGGAAAACCATCAACTAGAACAGAACAAGGCAACGTAAATCAATACAGTTTTATCATAAGATATGAAGAAGTCGTGACGACAACAGTTCTTACCGATACATAATCCAAACTCTCGATCACAGGCGTCGTTTGCACAGTGTGTGGGACAGTACAGTTCGCATGAGTTCCCATGTTTTCCACGAATACAATCTAATAAGGAACAGAAATAATATCAACTGTTTGTAGGGGTAGCCATGAATGATAATACATGTTTACATTTACGGTGTAATTACGATACAAAGACTATAGGTCGACTATAACAAGTCTATGCTACAGACTATATGTCTGTCTGATTGTTTGGTTTAGTCACGCTATAACAGACTACATAGCTTGTTGAGGTCGTATCTACATAAACCGTAGCACTTTATATCGGCCGGCGGCTGGACAGACAACCAAATAACAAAGATATTTTGATGTCTTCATATTTGCATCTAATATTTGCATAATATTAATATAATATACTGAAACAGAGAACACTGAAGAAAGTTATAGAAATAATGTATACGTAAACCTACTTATTATGTATCGATATAATACCAGTTTTACTAAATATCTATCAGTACACATGTTTTGTTGGCTAATTATGCTTTATTCGAGCTTGATAATCGCATATAATAAAAAGCTTTAAACTCGTCACAGATGGGTCATAGCTGTTTATACCTTTGCATGATTCGTTGTTTTGAAAACAGTCGTTGCAGTTCTTAGAACAGTCTCGATCACAGGTATCGCCCCACTTTCCAGAAACGCAATCTAAAAGTAGTGTCATCATTATTATCATTAAAATGTTCTGTAAATAATCGAAACATTCTCCTCCAGTTCTGTCCAATCATTCCATCCTTAATTCTTAGGGGACTCAAAATCGATGTATGAAATGGAAATTAGTGCAAAGTTATTTAAAATAATCGTTAATTGTGAGGTAAACAATAAAAAGTGCAGCTAAAGATATCTTCTATTCACAGAAAAATACAAATCCGAACATAAACTCTTATCCAATAATATCAACCATATAAAAAAATGCGTATGAACCGATCAACAAAATGTTTTGTTATAAACCAAAAAATTGTTTGGGTATTTCTGATATACTGTTTAAGGAATAGTGACTTTATACACAAACAATGTACGTATTAAACGTGTCGCAACGTTTCAATACCGAATGGTCTCTTTTTTTAAATGCATAACGAATCGAAAACATCAGCGTTTACTTTTTTGATTCAATAATGACTGAAAGACCCGCAACATATACTAAGCTAGTACTATGTGGAACATTTGTAATTTGATGCCGGGATTAGTGAGCTGCGCGTCACTAATCCCGGTAGACACAGACAATCCCGAAAGAAAGTCTGTTGTCACACCAGGACCTGAACCCGAAAGAACAGGCCCGGCACCAAGACTGTCCCCAACGACCGCACCACCTGGAATGCCGGGATCACTAACAGAGTCAGTGACCGGCGGCCGGTAGTCCCTACCCGAAGGCAAGCGCGAAAGCTTACGGGCGTTCCCGGCCAATTCGACCCTTGGCTGTGCCAAGCCAGGGTCAGGCTGCCCCTCCCCTACTCCAGGGAGTTCCTGGACAGGAAGGGCCACCCCCTGCTCACGAGAGGGACTTGCCGAAGCAAGACCCCCCGAGACAGGAACAGAGACAGTACCACCAGACCCCAGAGAGCTGGTGGCACGACCCCTACCTCTCTGCTTCCCTCGCTTACCGGAAGAAACAGACGAATCTGTCTTACGGTAAGTTGAGGGTAGCTTTGGAACAATGAAGTCCTTGCCCTGAGATTTTGACTGTGAACAAAGTTCACAAGGCGAAACCTCACTGCAAGGACGACACCTGGGACAGGCATCATGAGGGTCCCGTTCCACAAAGAAATGGGAACACCCATGAGCACTACCTCGTCGCTGTCCCGACCGAGACATACCCTCCAAAGCGAACGTAAACAAAAAATTTACAAGCAGATAAAACGGGAAAATAAGGATAAAATACGATAGTACAAAGTACGCAACGTAGAAAGAATTTCACCCGTAATATAAATCAGAAAACGGTTAAAATAAATAACGTTTGCCGAAACAAACAACCGTCACCGAAATAAACAGAGGTCGGAAATTAACCCACGATAATGGCGGACCGTGGCACACCACCGGCACACGTGGAGTAAAATAACCGGCCGTAAAAGGCACAAAAATAATTTTCAACAACAATTAGTTATATCAATAAAGGCAGATGGGTATAAGGCACACAAACTGCGCAAAAATATGAGTTGACACTCAAACCAAACCGACAAAACAATGTTTTGAATTGGAGCAAGCTCCGTGCGTCAGCATGCAGCAGGCGCCATAAAAGGAAGAGGAAGGGAGATCACTCCGTGGCTCTGTCATCGAGATAGAGGTTACGTCACGGTAGGGAGGTAGGGATATTTGAATCTTTTGTTTTTGGGCTACAAAGATGGGTGTAGGTATTGTATATGCATACTAAAGTTATGGTAATTATTACTGAAATGAAATGAATATTTACCTGTACAGGATCCGTTTTGAATACAACCTTCACAGCCTGAGGAACAATCTTGATCACAGGTGTGGCTCCACTTTCCAGGTAGGCAATCTAATAATTGGTGTTGTTATTATTCTTAATTTTATAAGAAATCATACATAAAATTATTTAATATTTGATGAAAAAAAAAAGAAAGTGGAATGTGACTTCTCTGTAAGGGACAAGACATCAATAGTACAAAAATACATTTACTTTGTACATCACGAAGATAAATTATTATAAAGTTGCATAACGCAATTTCGAGTTGATCAGATGCTACACCCTATGCAAACATCATTTTAACTTTGACCCCGCACCATGAAATTGACCTATAGGAAACGGAAAGCAACGAGACAGAAAGTAGCTGCGACAAAAAAAATATAAAGTTTCTTAACGATATCTTTAGACGACCAGAATTTATGGGCCGGGCCGGACAACATGCTAACGGTCGTGATGACGCACGTACAAAGAAATAAAAGTGCTGCATTTCCTTATGTCATGCAAAAACAGAGGTTAGTGAGGTGGGATGGTGATGTGGGTGGTAGGAAACGGGGAGACTGTCAAATAAAAATAATATGTATGAATAATAAACATGGCTTTGAATATGATTTTTATATTCCAAATTTTAAATTATCGATGAAGCTGTTTTTTGACACAATTTAAGAAACAAAATACAGCACTGTCAGCATACCAGGCTTCCAGTCAATACGAAAGGTCAGATATAAAGCGAGGAGACACCAAAAGACGTCAGGATGCCATGACACTCACAAAAACATCAAAACGTGAAAGAAATGTCCCGGAAGAGGAAGTGTGTCCTACACAACATATGGCTACATCTATAAATAGTTAATCAATGTTACATGAAATATCCAATTAAACTTACAAAAACATGAGCCAGTTGAAGCGTCGCAGTTGCCCCCATAACATTTATCCGAGCAAGTTTGGTTACAATTACCATTTCCATATTTCCGTATTGGGCAGCCTACAAGACAGAATCAAATAATCGGTTTTGATTTGTTAGCAAGATGGTTTGCAGGTTTTTATAGGAAGACATGTTTAATGAGTACATATACATGGCCCACACAGGGCACGAGTCAAAACGTGTACTATATACACAAGTGTATGTTGATGTGAAAGTTGTAGATAAACTGCCTGCCGTCATTGTACTGTGTCTTATATGTAGATATTATTATTATGATACATGATATAAATAAAAAATGGACAGTTCTCTCCTTGTTATTTTTCCTATCGGATAAATGTCTTGAAAATGAGTTGGTTACGAAATATATTCGACTCATGTTTTTCCATTCTATCGGCATCGTTAAGTGTTCTCATATAACCCATGTGTTTCCAACTTCGGTAAATTAGCCCATCTGCTATACTTGGTTCACAAACATCCTTAATCTTAAAAGGCGAAAATGAAAGTGTAATCATTAGACATGGCCAGCGTTACTGAAAACTCTACTTACCAAACACTTGTACCTCACAAAGCTCCAACACAGCGTTATCCTCATACCAGTCATGTCGCGCCGGATCATTTCTATAATTGTAGATGGTCACAAATTTGGCTACATACGGGCACCGATGGGTAACAACCATCTCTACTTCAGTCCAATTGTTACTCTTGTCTTCGTAACAGAGAATTCCTTGTGACCAGTCAGAGGTGTTGGACAAATACAGTTGATAACCTGCCAATCTTCTTGGGAACTGGACGCCTTCATCTAAATACAACAAGTCAAAAAGGGACTGAATCTGGACTTTTCCAAAAGTTCATGCAAGTATCAACCCATTCACGTGAAACTTTACCAACGACCGCCTAATTTGGCTTGAGCGACCTTGTTCAGAAAAACATGGAAGAGGCAGTGGTTTAATTTTCGAAGGAGCTATAACTTAGATGAATCGCTAGAAGGACTTGGGGATGATTAGGGAGTACGGAAAGGCTTGTTGACAAAGCCGTGTTTATTATGACGGAAAATGCATTAGATAGACTCGTCACGTCTTTTGCTTCGTGGATCAATCACGGATATATAATATAAAAGAACTTTCATTTGGAGGTCGTGGTGGGAACCTTCCTTTATTTATGTCTACCCCGCGTCCCTCGGGGTTTGGTTGTTGGTAGTCTTGGCTTGTTATTTGCGGCGTTTGACTAGTGTTGTCATGCAGGAGTTAGTCATGTTCGTTGAAATTCGTAAATATGAGTGTAAGCCGATCTACTTCTGTTCATACATTTTAGTGTTGAAACATCTAAATTAATTCCCTTTATCGCCACTATTTCCATTGCTGTGTGCAGACCGACACGAGACCTTGTCAGTTTGAGCTTTGTGCGATTGATATCGTCGATACATCAGACGATAGAACCAACGTGTCACTTATGTAAATGATCTACTGTTTTTCAAACTTCTTTATTTTCAAAAAATATAATACTAATAATAATAAACAATGTGACAAAGTTAATAATAATAAAAAGAATGATAAACAGTAAATCTAGCAAAGTTGTTTACGGTCAGTTTGGTTTATGTAATGGGACAATGGCTTACTGAAAATGGGGATTCGGAAAAATATTACATTCTAATATTAACATTATATTTTTTTGTGTCACATGTGCTACTTTTCACAAATCTCAGAAGTTGAAACCAGTACAAAGTCTAATTTGGAATTATAACAATATAATTATGTAGGTATTGTTCACTAGAGTCATAAGTAGTGGAGGACTACATTAAGATACATCGGGATGTTGATGGTGTAGTTAACGCTGACCATTCATGGATAATAATAATGATCTGTAGTTTTAAAATACTTTCAGCTTGAGTGGATTTAATTGTGCACATTTTTCGATCACTTGCGAAAAGTTATAACCGTCGTAGGCTTGAGGAACGTTACCACGAAGACACTGAACAATAGTCTAAACTATTCGATATTTAAGGAAATACTCTACATATGACGAGGGTGAGAATATGTCGGTAAAATTAATTAACGAACGGCGCTTGCACCCGAGCTGATTATTTTTCCAACAAACATCTGTTGATTCTGTCTTTTCTACCAAGCAAAATGTAATGATAGTCTTTGTCGTGTCTACCTTAGTTTCAATACGACTATGATAAACAAGGTGACCGAGAAAATATAATCGTATTCCGAAATTTGAAATTTAATTATTTATAAAGAAAAAGTTGTTGCATGATCATACATTCTAAGTCAACATCATGAGAACACATGAACTGCTGAAACATTACGATTTAAAAAATATTTTTGTTATGCGATTCTATTTACTATAAGAAGGTTCTCCTTCCTCAGTTATTCGTCCTGAATCGTCATTTTGACATATTTAAATCTTGCATTCAGCAATATAATTAAATCATATAATTTTACTGAACCCGGAAATATTATGAATTATGTAAATCTAATAGCGCACGTATCTCATTTGACCCCGAGTACCGACAGAGGAGCGAACAGAATACGCCGTGGCCATCACAACAGTTATCCCTTGGAGGGCCTCATAGCAAAATCCAACTATATCCACTCACTTGTCCCTTCCTTTCACATAAACTACTGTATATAAATACAAAACGGAAACTCTCTCCGATACATGCCTATAAACATAACAAAAAAAGTTCATCTGTGTTCCAACTCAGACAAAATTAATAGCGAGGTTAATAGTTTGAGATATTTATTCATAACATAAACAGCATTTTTGTCGATTTCATTTCAGCTTTAACCGGCTCTCCGTAATTATAAATGCACCGTACTAGCTTATAGGGCAATTATTTTCTCCTTTCAATACTTCCCACCTGCAGTAATCATTTGGCAATTTTGCGCTTCGTAGCTGACGCGGTAACGATCCGTGCTTCCCACGGCCAGTCATTTTGTCCACAATGAAATGGTGTGCTATGCGCATGCTCTAGTAGAGGTAATTCTCTGAACAAAACGTTGGTCAGACAGGTAAAAATCACGATGATTAGCTTAAAATTATTCATTTTTATGAACATATATCAGCCAAATCCGATTGTTATTTTCCATAAGGAGACTCACTTGATATGTTAATGTAGTATTTGAAAGAAGAAAAAACACACTTCACTGTGATGTCCCTTTAACAGATTAACAAACACAATCGCTATTATTTTCGCGGTAAGTTCGGCGGAATAATCTGATCGTGAACTTGACATGTTCTAGCTGCTGAACAGAAACGAGGTTGTTTGTCCGCGAGCAAATCTGCAAATACATACCAAAATATATGTATGTACCCTCATTCGACATAGGAAACCATTCCCGCGGCTCGCATGTTTAAGTTTGCAACGAAGGTTTCGTCGATTGGAAAATAATTAATGCACGTGCATGGTCTATTGTACAATTATACATGGTTATTAATCAATGAAAAGTGTCGTTATATTGCAAACGTGGTAGCATTTAAATTAAAAAGTATGAGCCTGGTGTATCACATTGATATAATAAAAATATACTCCTATCACATCTAGTCAAAATTATCATAACACTTCAAAAGCAAAGCAAATACCTCAAACAAGATTAAAGAACATTTTTCGATTAAACAAAACATTTACATTGTTGCTTATCACCTTGATTGCATTCCAAGACTGCATTATGGAAATTGAAATATTATCTAAAATGACTTTATTTGGGTTTATACCAATTAAAATAATTATAGCAATGTGTAGCTAAAAGAACTTGATAACATTAGTATTATTTTGGAAACAATTATATGTACAAGCCAAAACTGGAACAAGTTATTTCAACATTCAACTGAAGGTATACAATTTATGAAAAGCTCAATGAAACATTCTTAGTGTTATTAAGTGAAACTAATGGATAATAAAATATTCTCGTTTATCTATTTGCTACATCAGACTATCGTCGTACTGCATGTGATGTAGGTAAATATTCACTAAATCTTATACACGATATTGAATACTTGTGTTGTAAATGATAAATTAGCTTCATTAAATGTTGATTTAAACTATACAGAACCAGAAATCCCTTTATCCTTACTGCCTTTGCTCTTTTAGAAACACAGATTCGCGCTTCTGGACATTCGAATTATGATTATTGAAAGTCTGCTGACAGTATGTTTTATATTTTGTTGTTATGCTGTCGACTTACCCCGGTTGTATATTGTGATGTAACTGATGGTACTGAGTTTTCCTAGATCCACCTGCCACAAGGCTTTGTTTCGATTCCATGCTGTGTGTGTACAACAATCGGACCCAATGTTTTGCTTTAAACACCCGTCTACAACTTTATCTGCGGTCCAATTACTTGAAACTGAAAACAGACTGCTCTGCATAGCAGTTTTTCTAAATGAGGAGTTTTCTACAAAAATAAAATAAAAAAGTTTGATCTTTTGTCGGGGTATTTTGGTGACTTGTCTCTAAGCAATGAAAGTGTCAAGGAATACATCAAAGTCCTCACAGGAGAACAGAACCAATTCTGTGTGAGGGTCAGTATATCCTAGAAGGACAGTATAGTACAGAGCTGCAATACTGTTGCTAGCCAGCCTAATTTGATGGTCGAAATTGATATATTGATATGCGACGGGAACATTTGAGTGGAGAACACTGTACGCATGCACTGTACGAATAATCCAATCTCATTGCTTTCATTGTTTTTTTTTTATTTATTTGCAACTTGTCCTTTAAAAATAATACCCCTCNAATCGGACCCAATGTTTTGCTTTAAACAACCGTCTACAACTTTATCTGCGGTCCAATTACTTGAAACTGAATACAGACTGCTCTGCATAGCAGTTTTTCCAAATGAGGAGTTTTCTACAAAAATAAAATAAAAAAGTTTGATCTTTTGTCGGGGTATTTTGGTGACTTGTCTCTAAGCAATGAAAGTGTCAAGGAATACATCAAAGTCCTCACAGGAGAACAGAACCAATTCTGTGTGAGGGTCAGTATATCCTAGAAGGACAGTATAGTACAGAGCTGCAATACTGTTGCTAGCCAGCCTAATTTGATGGTCGAAATTGATATATTGATATGCGACGGGAACATTTGAGTGGAGAACACTGTACGCATGCACTGTACGAATAATTCAATCTCATTGCTTTCATTGAATTTTTTTTATTTATTTGCAACTTGTCCTTTAAAAATAATACCCCTCTTCAAGGAATTCATATCTTTTAAGGGAGAGAAATTTCCCTCTGAAGAAAATGATTGTGAAATAAGATGACATGAAAAGCAAATGTGCGTTTTATTCAAATTTAACTGTTTGGATAAAACTATATCCCCTGTTTGTATTTTACTTTTAGATTATCCCACCTTTACATACAACTTCAATAAAGAAAGTATTTGGTGTGTTATATATATTTGAAATAGAAACCCTGTTGGAAAAGCTGGCGAGAGATAACATGCTGATATGATGTACTTTTTCCCGCCAAAATTATTCAAGATTTGAAAAATGGCAGCCATCATCAATAACTTTGGCAGGAAAGAAATACTATTATTAATGCTTATCTATGATTAATACTTATTGAACAACTTTATTTTATTGTCTTTTTAGGCCTAAAACAACCTATAAAATCGTCGACGTCGTCGAAACCAGCCCGTCAGTCAAAATACATTTTACAGTCAGGCAAAATCTTCATAACGTCGTTAAAAAGCCAACCCTTATCCTTCCCCCCCCCCCCCCCTCCCTTTTTTTTTTTTTTTTTACTCACTCCCACACCCCCCCCCCCCCCCCCAGTTTCAGTTTATTTTCTTTATTTCCAAGATCCATCCGACCCATGTCCCCCACCACCCGCCCGTAACCGATTGAAGTCCTTACAGGCAACCTTGATTAAAACAGGATGATATCACTAGTTATTACTAGTTGTTACATTGTTATACACCGTTTACATAAATAGAAATATCATCCTTCAAATTTCCGTCAGGTGTAAAATGCGGTCACATGACTTACATACAAAGTGGTCTGACTTGTGAATGCTGTCTGAAATTAGATTAGTATTTAAGCAGTTTTAAGAGGATGTAGATTTGACCCTGTTCCTGGCATACTGGCCGTTGTATATCGCACACACACACACACACACACACACA